CTGCTCCTTGGCGTCTCCGGACACAATTCCGCGAAGCTTACTGGCGTAAGTTGTCACACAGCCTCCACATTTAAAGCAGCGCGGTGTTTTGCACTGCCGGCGAACGTGTCCTACCTTGTTGCATCTGAGTCATAAAGGAAGTTCCCTGAGACGAGGAAGAGAGTTCAACATCCGTATGTTTTTAACAGGTGGGGTATACTCTCTGTCGTTGTTCCTTCGTGCAGGGTCACTTTTACTTCCCAGTTTATGATGTCCATGTGCTCCATACCAACGCCACTTTTCTCGGTAGATATTACGCAGTGTGCCGAAAGGCGCCAGAGCTTCGACGACGTCGATCTGTCCTCGATGTAGTCTAGAAGCCACAGGAGCTCTATCTTCAGTTCTCAAGTTTTGGGGTCATCTTGCCTTTCACGAGGAGCTCATCACGAAGGCAAAGCTTTTCTTTCGTTACCATCCAGAGATGACTCATCTGAAATTGTCCGGTAGCTTTGACATCTTTGAGGCCGATTTCATCCTTTAGAGCTTCTCGGAAATCCGGGGCCCTGTAGGGCCTAGCAGTTACGTCGGCGCGAAGATATACGGAATTGTCGACGAGGTTACCGGTTGGCAGACGTGGATGACTTTGTACTCACTAGGGATGGTATTCAAAGAGAACTCGGCCAGCGGCCGATACGCTGTTTCCCCCAGAAGCATATATTTTGGCAGCCGTTCGAGATGGCAACTTCTTCCTCCCTAGGTCACGCAGACACGCATGAACGGCTTGGGAACGAGCTGGGATTTACAGTTAGCTACCGCATTCCACTCTTAAAGGCGAAGCTTAAGCGTATCCCTGAAAGTTTCTAAATAAAGCATTTGTACTATATTATTTATTCTGCAGTTTAGCGATTTTTTCATTACAAAAAGCTATAATGCTCCTCAGCAATGTAGTCTGGAAAAGCCTCAAAACACTTGAGGTTTGGCAGCTCTTCCAAAATCCATGTCTTGGGCCTGAAACACGTTTAAAAAAACTTCTAGCCTTTCCACTCTGGTGAAGAAAGGAAGAGTAGCGGAGCTGGTAGCTTCTGTTCTCGACGGTGGCTTTCCCGGCGAGCGATCTGCTATTCTTTCGGAAGGGAATCTGAAGCGCTCGACGCAGTGGAACTCTAGCCGATAGTGGCTTCGCGGCGGTTGCGGAACCGTTCGCGCTGCCGCGCACTTCGCCGCTCGTTCTACTCCCGCTCTTCTTCCTTCGAAGGAAAGTTGCCGCCACCTATGAGCGACGGCGGCAACCAGTTGCCTGGTTGCCGCCGTCGCTCGTATATGGTGGTAGCTGTCCAGAGTTCGGTGTCATCGTTTCTAATCCGGCGGACACGATCCTTCGGAAACTAGCCCTTAACCGCCGTAAAAAAAGTTGGCTTGTAGATGGTACCCCTGCGAGACTAAATCGTGGTACTTCGAAAGTTTTTTTTTTTTTTTTTATTGTGTTGTCTTTTTTTTATAAAATAAATCAGATCAGATTTTCTGTTTGACTTTTTTGTGGGTAGGGGTCTTGATGTCTGAATATAAGCCTAAGAGGTTCTGCTGTGACCAACTGCCATATTAGTGTCAATTGCCATAGGAAGAATGGAAAATTGACAATCGAGCTATATCACATTCGGTTTAAGCGGTGCAATATAAAGTTTAAGTCACAAGAAACAAATTGGACTATGCTCACGCTTAGAAAACCTGTAGGCTCGGGCTGTTTTTATTGGGCCGGGTATAAAAACTTGATCTGCGTAATGTTCTAATAAACATCGGTCACAAATATCACACGCTGCTATAGTTGGGTTATCAGAAAAAGGAAACCAAATATAATAGTCACTTTTTAAGACACAGAATACAAATGGGCTGGATAAGAATGGCATACCTGATCTTGTTCCATGCAAGTTGGTCACTTTCTTTGAAGCGCGGCCAGAGGCGTCACAAGAAGGGGGGGGGGGGGGGGGGGGGGGCAGACCAGTGCAGGGCTCAGGGGGGTGTCGCCGCGGGCCACGAGAGCAGGGGGAGGGGGGGGGGGGGGTGTCGAGGGGGGATACCGCCTTGGGTGCCGCTGACCCTCGTGACACCGCTAATTGCGGCCACTGTCCAAGGGCCATTTATTTGTCGTATCAGTAACTGTGTCGACTGGAAGTTGGTACAAGATGCTGCTGCAGAGATCATGCTGTAAATTCACTTCTTGTATTTAAAACCAGGGCACATTGAAGGTTGCTGAGCGTGACTGTAATGTCAGCCCCTAAGGAACCCTACGAATAGATAGATTCGTAGGGTTCCTTAGATTCGTAGGGTTCCTATAGATTCGCGTGTTTTTACAAAAATATAATAGCAAAAAATGATAATTTCCTTTCACGTATTGTTTCTACTGTGCCCCACAATACACCTTATGCAACCAGGAAAAAAGACACCTTTGTTTTACCTAGATGTAGAATGAACTACGGCTTTGCAATGTTGCGATATATCTTGCCTAAGTTTTGATTACTCCACCATGTGATCACTTGAATGATATGTCTCCTTCTGTCCTTAGGAAGGCTTTTCTATAATTTGTCTGTACTTCTCATTTTGTCCGTACTGTTCATTTTGTATATATATTATTTTTACCGCGTTTACACTGCTGACTTGTAAGGGTGGCAAGGCCCGTCAAGCAGTGGACGACACTGCTTTTTTCTTGCCACCCTCAGTTTGTATTTCAAGCTGAAATAAACGCTGATTGATTGATTGAATAAAACTAAATTGATGTGAATTTAATATGAATTTCAACCATTGTTGACGACCAGACATGAGTGCTCTTGATTGAGATTGAGATTGGGAGAAACAATTTAATAAAATAACAGCTCTTATTTCGAAACGTTACCACATTGGACTAAGCCCCGAGGCCTACGGAACAGTCACACTCATAGTCCAGTTGCATGCACTCATTTGGTTTCAAAGCGAGTTTCGGTTTGCTTCAACTCGTTTGGTGCCAATTTTGAAACTATGCACTCCTGCGAAAACGGGACATGATTCTTTATTGGGACGAAAAGACGGGACGGCAGAAGCGGACCTCAAAAACGGAACTGTCCCAACCAGAACGGGACGCCTGGTCACCCTAGCTTACAGCGACCGATGACAGTAATCGCCACCAACACCCCTGAGCCTGAAGTATCGACGTTTGTTCTAAAAGCTCTATTTAACCATGGGGAAGATTAACTCTAAGAACACACGTGAACATTTTTCCTTTTTAATTCGAAAATGAGCCAAAAAAAAAAAAAAAACACGACCAGAAGCCGCTTAATCGTTACCTCCCACCATACCCACCCTGACAAAAGTGAAGTCGAAGATCTGAAAACTCGAGAAACTTTCTGTTTGCGTTGTAAAATTTTTTTTTTTTTTTTTATTCAACTGCAAGGAGAATGTTCGGCCCAACGTTGGCCTTACAGAAGCGATTGACGCTCGGTGGGATGGTGCCTCTCGCCGCCGGCAGAACGCGCGCGCGTAGTCCGAGGCCGCAAGTTTCTGTCACTGTCTACAACTGCACCTAAACATGTAGGTTGCAACGCTCATTTCATTCGCCATCCACTTGCAGAAAGGGAGGCGTACAGTTACAGTGCATGCACAGTGCGTTGCTAGTAGGAGCTCGAGTGCAGTCACTTCGAAGCAGGGTTGTACTCCCGCCCGCAGGACCCGCCATTTGCGACGTACGCTACCATGCTAAAACAAAAATCATTCCACAAATAGTAATATAGCAATCCAAAAAAAGAAGGAAAACACAAATATGTAACAAACGCTGGCAACAAGACCTACAAAAAAACGACTCCGAGAATGTTCAGCATGGGAGCCCACATTTCTTTAAGGCTATGTACTGTAAAAAGCTCCTTTTTTTTTTACAGAAACGCCGGTAGTAATTTTGAGGCCCATGAGAAATTTATCGAGCGACGAAGGCTGTGCTTTCGGCTACGGGATGCATCACTGCGCATATATGAAAGGCGAAAATATGAAAAGGGGGTCAATAATTACATTTCGAAGTCTGATAGTCTTGTATCATAGTCCCTAGCAAAACTTCGTTAGCGCTGTGAGACAACCTATGGCAGATCTCGTGAAACGCGTTGGTCATGGTCGCGCTGCAGGAACCCGCTGCGTGTTTCCACTTACCGGGGTCACGCAGCAAAGACGAAGCTCTCGGCGAGCCGCAAGAGGCAATACCGGTGTCGTACGAAGCCTGGATTCGCCCTATAGCTTCGAGCATTCTGACAAAAAAACAAACCCCTGGACTCCATGATTCGATAAATACGCTGGCATTTTCTCTCCCCCACCCCCCGCCCTCCCTCCGCTAAGCCCCTTTCTCTTCTCTTCATCGCGATTGGGTGATATATATCAAGAGACTGCGATGTAATCCTTCCAGTCAATAAATAAATACGTTTGAACAACAATGTCAGTAATGGTTGCAGTATGAACAGGATGGCTATTTGTTTTGCTTTACAACATCGAGAAGAACAGCATACATGGCTTGCACGTGCCGACATTGCCGCATGCTCATTCCCGCTCTTCCCGAGACAAAATATAATTCGGTGGTCCGAAACGCATGTGGCAGAAAGTACGCGCTCAGCAGCAAGACCACCATGATGGCCTCTGATGTGATGTGAATGCAAGCCATGCATACAATTTGCACAAAGGACCTTTTCCGCGTATCGCCGGTTCGAGAGGTTTAAGCAGAGAACATCCGTGCACGCCATGAACACTTGCACGATCCTTCCCTTCTCAGGCCAGGTCACGCGGACGCTGCGAGTTCATGGAACACGAACTTGTGTTTTCAGTCCATAAGCTCTGGAACCGAGATTTCGAAAAACTCGTCTAAGTGTTCCAAACCACCGAGGTGCCTCGAATGATCGGTGTGCGACACAGGTTCATCAACTGGCCGCCAACGGCAACACGCAAGGCGTTGTTCAGCTCTATAGTTGAGTAACGAGATTGGGCCTTCTTCAAGATGACACCAAGCAGCGAAAGCTCAATTATGCTAGCCGTCCGGAAGGGGAGTTGCGTGTCGCGGAGGAGGCAACTTCCCTTCCTGGCGCCAACTCCAGTTCCAGGTTTTTGCCGCTGCGTGAGGAGGACCCTAGTATGCGTAGAACCCTTCTCCAGAAAAGGTTCGTTGTTCTTCACAGCGGCCCACTCGAGTCTGCAGCACGTCACGGCCGCTCCGATGGCGACGTCCGGCGCCGACGTCCTCCGGCGAAGACCTGCTTCCCGCTGGGCTTCCAGCACTTGCACGAGCCGTTCACGAGGAACCAGTCGTAGTACATGCGCACCACGTAGCATCCCACCTGGTCGTGGCCGTCGCACTTGGTCTCCGCGCGCGCAGCGTCGGCCCACGGCCGGGGCCCGTCCTGGCGGCGCTGCGCTTGGAGTGCGGGCCTCGCTCGCCGGTTCAGGTACTGCTGGAAGTGGTGGAAGTCATGCACCGCCGGCAGCCGCGGCCGCGTGGCGTGGCGTCGCTGCGGCGACGCGGTCGGAAACACGGCGTTGGGGTAGAACACCTCGGCCACCAGCAGGCTCACCCAGCGTGGCGACTCGTAGCACAGGCCGCCCTCCACGAAGTCGCATCGGGTAGAACTGCACAACAGAGATAGTAAAGCAGTGTGGAAGCATAAATTTACAGATACTGTAAACGACTAAATTTTCGCGAGGACCTAATTTTCGCGAATTCGCGAATCGGCTACAATTCGCGAAAAATACTCCCCGCGAACGATTCGGGCAATATGTGAAAGCTACGGAAGCTACACTCGATTCGCGAAAATTAGAACCCGCGAATAATTTCAAAGTTTCAGCTTTGGCCCGATTCGCGAAAATTTGAGCCCGCGAAACTCGTTTACAGCATATTTTGGATATATAGACCAAACAGGTCACAGGGTAGAGAGAAAGAGAAAACAAAATAGGGAGGGAGTAAAGGGGGATGCCGGGAGAGAATGACGCAGTTGATGTTAGCAAACACCTCAACATAATTTCTTGGCGCTTTTTTTTTTCTTACTTTCTTTTTTTTTTTTTTTTTTACCTGAAAGCTTTCTTAGAAACGTCGCGGCGTTCCCTCGTTCGCCTTTCTTGCCACTTTTTGTTTGTTTCCAAAAGCTCTTGGCAGCCAGCCAAATTTGGGCCTTTCACTTTGCCACGCGGCTTGCGACATCTGATATCGCTTTAATAAGAATCCAACTGCTATAAAAGGGTACGTGTTCGGAAGCAGAGGGGGCGACGACAATTGGATCAATGGCAACTGCAAAAGCAGGTTCATGTCACCGACGCTACGCCTATTTGTTTTCGCGTATCGGTGCACGCAAACCAAAATGTGGTCTGCCTTATTTTCGTGATTTACATTTAAGCTTTAAATACCTTCACACTTGTGATGGGGCTGAGCAGACTACTTCAGTAAAGCAATGAGTGAAAGAGGCAGAAAGGGAAAATGTGGGAGGGAAAAATGCAGGAAAAATCTGCTCTTACAATATACAGGTCACAAAAACAGGACGTAAGAGAGGAAAATATGTTTGAGAATTCACTGGGAAGTTCTTTGTTGATCGAGGTGAGAACGGGAATTTTGAAGACGATAACGCATAGGGCTAAATTTCAGGAGACAGACACCATTATGTGCCACCTGCCACAATTAAAGCGAAACATTATAGAGCACTTGGTTTTGAAGTGCACGGGGTTTTGCCCTGCCTTCCCCGAAGGGGTAACGGATTTGGCCGGGGCTCTCGGTTTTGCTGGCGACGATGAAGGGACGAGTGAGGAAAGGGTTACAGTCAGAAAGGGGCGACTAGATGATTGGTGGAAAGTATCAAGGGAAAATTAAATGATGGACAACTAACTAGCACAGCTGGGGACAGGCGGGACAGAGGAAAATTGGGACTCCCTCCCACGCGGCTCCGGCCCAAAGTCTCGACCCTGTCTCCCAGTGGGTCCTGTGCTGGGGTAACGCCGACTGGGCGGCGGAGAAAAGCTCACCGGAGAAAAGCTCACCGGAGATAAGCTCACCGGAGAAAAGCTCACCGCAAAACCGGCAGATGCGGAGAAAAGCTCACCGATTTTTTTTTTAACTTAACAGATTCTGCATCAAAGGTGGCAATTTAACACTATTCGCATTCGTCACTTCATTAAAGATATGTCCTCTTTTTTGTAATATTCTTGAAGTTCATTGGGCATATTTACTAATTCCTCGGAAATTAGTAATCACCCATTGTGTATATTAATTAAGCCGCAAGTATAAAATAAGAACTTCATACACTCGTAAAAAAAGACAACAATTTATTGACAGCTGACAGTGCGCCTTCGGTAGCTCTGTCAGATAAAGAGGTATGTTCTTTGCGAGCTAATATGAATAGCGGTGTGTGAAGCGTTTCAACTCCAAATATTTTGTAGTGCCTAATAGATAAGTAGATGGTTGTTGATGTAATCAGTGTCGGCTACGCTGTTTTCTTTCTGTTAATTACACTAACAAAACTTTAGTTGCGAGAACAGCCTCGTCCTGTCGTGTTTGTTGTCTTCACTCCGGCGTGTCATTTGAGCATTTTTCATGATGTATAACCTTTAGCAATTCCCCCTATTCGCCACATTACACAAGACTACTTATTATATAGGTCACGAGTAACAACGTTGAGAGTGTGCAGCTCTGAAGGTCACGGGTGGTTCGCAGTAGAAGGGTACTATCACACAAAGGCGACGAGTGGAAACACAAGCACGAACGGCTAGAAAACGTGCATGTCCGCGGAAGAAAAAAGCTTCGATATCCTACTGACTGTTCTATCAACTTTTGTTGTTGCGCCTGCACCCCGTTGTTGCGCCTGCACTTTCGGATTTTCGGCATTTACAGTTTTGATTTTTAGGTTTTAGGCAGACATTATTAAGTTTTCGAACTCTTTCCTGTTCTTCAAGTGCATAAAGTTTTCAGTTAGGCTTCGTTGCGTAGAGAGTAAGCCATAGAAAACACTCGCCCGCAATTATTAATCTGGGAGCAATATACCCAATAAGCTTAACAAATATTACAAGAAAGGATTTTTTTTACTAATCTGATGAATTTTAATGTTAATAAATTGATATAGGTTACGCATGATCCAACAGCCTCCATACAAAAAGAAGAAAAAGAATTGGTGAGTTTGGTCTCCGCATACGCTCAATGGCCCGTGAGCTTTTCTCCGCATCCGCCGGTTTTGCGGTGAGCTTTTCTCCGGTAAGCTTATCTCCGGTGAGCTTTTCTCCAGTGAGCTTTTCTCCGAAATTCACGCCGACTAGGTTTGACCAGAGGAAAATTCTCGACTCCCTCGCCGAGGGAAAAAGGCGGAGGGTGCTGTTTTTAGTATTCTTGCCGATCCCCGATGGTCATCTTGGTGATATCCCATACTTCCTGGTGATAGAGAAAATTGATCTTAGCAGGGCGGGAAGAATAATGTGTTGCTCTTTTTAGACTTAGGCTAGGTGGCGCAAGCAAGCGCCCGTTACAAAGGGTATAACCCTTAACATCCATCGAGTGGTCAACGCATGACGACAGTTTGAGGATGCTTAATTCAATTACCGAGAAATTAGTCTTCATATATCAAACCAACTTTCATATTATATGTTTATCTATCAGTCCTTGTATCTTAAACGAAATAGCGCCTGGTCGGTACGAAGATATGACGTGAGACATCTCTGGTTGCCTGTTTATCAGAACGTTGCCCTCTTCATCAACTGCGCCTCATAATTCGGCGTCATTCACTCAAGATGGTGCCATCGAAATCGGAAACTACACAAAGAAGTTTTAGTTTGTTGTGCCTCACTTTCCTCGCTGAAATGTGAAGAACAACAAGGCGTGGAGTCGGGCTAGTTGGATGGACGTGTTGAAGTGGAAAAAAAAAACAGCGCAAAAATACAGAAGACACATTTTACATCTGCACGGTACTGCAAGTAAACATGACTGGAGAGGATAGACTCAAACCAAAAACAATCAGTTATATCCCCCCTCCCCCCAATCATCTGGACAAACGCGTACACAAACTTGCTCGACTTGCTAATAAATTCAACCTAATCACCGGCTAGAACTGGACCTTTCTATTGCCTTTCCACCTGCTAGCCGGACACAAACAAATACAAATACAAACATACAGACGACAAAACTTCCCAAGGTGATTGGTTCATCGCTGTCGGTTGCCATGGTGATCGCCATTTTTGACCTTTTGAAAACTTCGAAACTTCGAAAGGGTCATTAAAACCAGTCGCACATAGATCGCTATGGAGCATCATCGTACTGAAGGCGTTCCTCGGCCAATATTAGCGTCTTTGGCATTGTGCATGCAATAAACTTGTCACCCATGCTTGTTTCCTCAGGTCTCTTACAATTATGTTGCTCCCCTTGCGTGTTTCAAGACAGTAAATGTATTTTTCAATGCACCCAAGCACCGACGCCGCGTGTGATGCCGTACATCTTCGTACCACCATCACACGCAACGTCAGTGCTGTTTCGGCCGTTTCGACGTTTCGGCCGGAGTCCGGCCGAAACGTCGAAGAAAAAAAGATATATATATATATACCTTTTTTTTTTTTTTTTTACTTTAAGATTTAGTTAGACCTAGCGGATTCGATACCAAAAATTCCCTGGTCATCGGGAGTCCATTGTTCGGTATAGGCTGCACGAATAACAACCGAAAGCGCAGACTTTTATCGGAGGACATCTGTATCGCGCACGGGATTCGACCAGGCAACTGCGGCTGCAATTAACTGATGTTGACCGCCCCAACGCGACGGGTTCTTATTTTGCAAATTAGTACATAACGTAGCTGGAAAGAAAACTTCAATTTCTATTGCCGAAACATGCTCATGTATCGATGTCGAATCATTGAATCATTGATCGACTCGGTCCGGCAATGGGCCCATCTCGACTTTGCTGTTTTCAGTTCTCGACAAAGGACCCACTCGTCGACACGGGATCTTCAATTAAAAATTTTATGAATATCTGCAAGCCGGATCTGCGATTCGATCGTTCCCTGCAACATTCTTATTTCGCGCGTCCTTGTTCACATCACATTTCATTGTTGTGGACGATACGAGACGCCAAAATGATAATTTGTGTGCTGCATCTAAAACCACAAATAAAACTGAACGGAGATTCATTCGATGTTAACTGATACAATATTTTGAGTACTCACCTCCGATTTCTGCCGGTGGTGCGTTCAGTTGTTCAGTGCCGCTATTCTCGGCATCGCCCCAGTGGCGGATGCCATAATGTGGAGCAGGCAACTTTGCCAGTGAATTGAAAAACGCCAACCGCGGCACACAAGAACACAAGACCTTCAAAAGTCGGATACCCAGCACTTTAGAGCACACAACCAGCACACCCAATGCTGGAGCGGCGAGCCCAAAGAGCACTTTCGCCAACGTCTGTAACCACTCAGCATGGCCGCGAAACCTGACGCTCGCTAGATGGCGCTACCCACGATTAAACTTTCTATAGACGCTTTACACACGCGCCAGATTGAGCCGCCATAGCCGACCTTCTCTTGTCTTACCGATATGCCGAGCCACTGAAGCGGGCGTTGACGGGTCTTCACAAGGGCCTATGCTGGGCACAAGAACAGAGTAGCATCTAAAACGGCAATAACCTGTCCTGCTGTGGTAATGATAAAGTGAAGCGAACGGAATAAGAGGGAATAAAAACTGATGGTCAGTTATGGCGGCACCCATGCACAGCTGCTGTAAAGCGTCTATATGACAAGGCCCTGGTTGGGATTTCAACGTAATATACCGGAGTCCACCGCGGGTCGGCGATCGGCTGCAACTCGTGCCCTCATTGATTGAACGCGAGTCCCAACCGAACACTGACGCAGCACTCATGACCAAACGGTGTCGCAGCCGGCGCTAGCCTCCGGTAGGTTACGTAGAAAACCCAGCATCACGGCCTTGTTACGTTGAGAGGAAACGCGCCCAGTGACTGGGCTGTGGACGCATGCGCGGCGTCTGATATTTCCGAGAAGATGCACAGGACGGGTTCCACAGCCCAGTGGACAAAGACGGCGGTTCAGAGAAGGCAACTACTGGAATAGCCTATAGATTCTACTGGGAAAAAGGCGCTCTCACATGCACTTGGTCTGCTGCACCGTCTGCGTGAGGTAGCCCTCGTGTGGAATCTGGACCACGTACTTCCAGACCCCCTGGTAGTTCCTGGCGAACGTGGGCGTCACGTACTCCTCGAGCGACGGGCAAGGGGTCGGCGGCAGGCCGCCGTCCACGTCGTTCTCCATGCTCTGGGCGCTCTGGTCGGCGACGGGCTTCTTCTTGCGCTGGTTGTACACGTTGGCAAGGAGCTTGATGGGCGAGCTGTCGCTGGTCATCATGTCCAGCACCGTCACCAGGGGACTGGAGCTGGCTGCCGACGACCCTGTGGCTCCCGTGAGGGCCGACAGGACCTGGGTCAGCGGGGACCGATTCACGATGGGCGGGGAGGGCGTCGTGGACGACGAACTGGCGTCCGGGTTGATAGCGTTGATGATGTCCGCGGCGTATGTGAGCATGCTGAGCAAGTTGGTGGCGCCTCCCCCGCTTCCGCCGGACGCTGTGCTCCCCTGCGTCGAGGGGGCGGCCTGCACCTTGTCCGCGATGGACGGCGTCCTGGCGGTGAGCATCTGTACAATGGTCTGGAGCAGGGCCGTCGAAATGCGTGCGGTGGACAGGGCCGAGAACAGGGTGCACACGCTGCGACCCAAACCATTGATTAGCTTTTTCGGAAGAGCAATTTGGGGCAACACTTCCGACAGCTATAAGATGAAGCAGATTATCGACGCGCTTATTTGCCTTTGACTAGAGACTACTAGGAGACCCATTGATTCGAGTCAATACTCGCAGCTTTCTGTGAATATTGCTTAACAAAAGTCAAGATTGCGGGACCAAGTAATAACGTCTGTATTCGATGCTTCGCACTTCTGTCGTTGCTCCCTGCTACTGTATACCCGGCTATCATGCTAACAATTAAAGTTAAATTTCTTTTTTTTATATTTCTTGTTTTGTTTAGCGGCAAGGAGACACATACTGTGCTCGGCTTTATAACTTCGTGTTTGGCGCCCCACGTGCAGCTAATCCGCGAAACAAGTTGAAAAAGCTGCATGCAGACTGTTTTGGTCATGCGAGGGTTTTGGACGGGTCAAGAAAATCCTCAAAATGTTTGCAAGCCCACCATATTTAACGGATTTCACGGCAAAAGTGTAACGTACGCTTTTGTCGGTACACCTTCGCGTGTTGCAAAGACCCTTATTTCGGGCCGCATGGCAAGTGAATGTATTCCATGTTAAAGATATATCTCTTTCGTAGCGTTGTGCGCAGACGACCGACGACGAATACTGTGCAGCACACTAAGAAACTGCAGCGTCTGCTCTCCCACAAACCACTTGGGAGAGATAATACGTTTAAACATCAAACTGTCTGCACTGTGGCAGCGAGCATGACGTTCCAACGTGCTCACTTCCAGATGCGTAGACCGTTTTCGGGGGTCTAAGTAAACATATACGGAGCGCAAGTTCGACTGCTTCTTTGCAGGGGTTGCGATGATGTCAGAACGGCGAGCTCTTATTGGCTGATTGAAAAAAAAAAAAAAAAATAGCGGGCAGACCTCAAAGCATCTAGCATTGAGACCTACCCGGTATCCTTTCAATCAAAGCCAATCAGAGCCCGGCCCGCAGCCACAATCATTGAACCCGATCCGAGCTCGGATGACTCTGCTGTACTGTGACGTAACTCTCGTGCCAAATCGTTCGGTGGCATGACTATCCCAATGTTGCCCTTTTTGGCCACCGGCCGCGCTGGCTAGCAGCCGACCGAAACGCCTCCTGTTCACTGCACTGGACCATAACTCCGTACCGAGAACCGCCCAGACTTACGTTCCCGAGCCGTGCCGGCAGAGCTGGCGCAGGCTGCTGTTGGATGTCCACTCGCGGAGTTCATCCTGGGCGAGACGCAAGTCCCCGCTCAGCGTGGCGTTGTGGCTCCGGGCCTTCCGGGGGCCCCTCTGGTAGTAGCTGAACGAGAGGTCCGGCAGCGGGGGAGGGACCCCCAGCAGGCCCAGTAGACGCTGGGGCCCTCCGAGCCTAGCCACCTTGGGCAGGTTCGGGTCGCGCCGCAGCAGAGGCAGCGTCTCCGACAGGAACTCCAGCGTCTTCCGCTTGATGACCTCACTGCGGAGATGCGGTCGGATTGACTATACGTGACTTGGGAGAGCCTTAAACAAATTTCTAGGCTTGAAGCTGCTTTAAATAACTATGTGTTCCTGACATATTTCACTCGCCAAACATATAGAAGTGTGTTATTGTCTCTTTTACGTAATGAACAACAATTTTGTGTGTCTGTGGGCAGGACAAAAACAAAGTAGACAAGGGCGCGTGGTGGAAGAATGACGTGTGACGGCTTGACGGAAGAATGACGACTGCGCACGCAGACTGAGGAAGTGACCGATGAAGTGGCTGTCGAGTAGAGTATGAAGTACTTCTTTGTTCTGTTTAAAACAAGCACAAATTAGCAAGGATGATGCTTATTTGCAAATTGAGTTGACCGTAATTTTGTCAAGAACAAACCTTAAACGCCAAACTATGCCGAAAATTTTCACTCCTGCACGCGCTATTTTAGTCTAGATTCGATCTTGCGTACAGATGAGAGTGAACAATTTTGATCACTTTTTTCTGAATGACCATTCTCCCACATCACGGTGCTGAGTGTAAACAATAAACAATATTGGTCAGGAAAACAAACGTTCTGATTGCCACTCAGTGTTTTGACAAACGGTAAACTGCGACGGCTTGCCTTAAAATTATCGTGACATTTTGAAAATATTATTGCTTTTGGCTCAGTTGCGTCGTCATCATACATATTGTGAAACGTCTTGTGTAAACTATATTCGCGATATATATGGCGAGGAGGCGCCCATTCCATAATTTTATGCACTTTATTTCATTCCTAAGTTTAAGAGCACAACTCGGATTCAACGTTTAATACTGCGACGCAAAGTTTTACCAATCACGGGTATGTTAGGCGACCTACCAGAATGACAACCTTTCGATTCAGGTAAAGTATATGCGACTGAGGAAAAAAGAAATAGATGCTGAGTCGTATAGACACAACGTATTGTATGTTAATCTAGATTTTTTTTTTTTTTTACCGTTTCGTTAAAATTAAAAAACGCAATTTATTATTTTTGATACCTGAAAATAAGAGTGGATTGTACGAATGATTAAAAGCTAGGAAGTTTCACGTTTCATGGTTGAAATAGTGCCTATTTCCAAAACGACGCGGGAAATGTTTTTGCTCCCCGGAACTGAACCGTGGTTGACCCGAAAGCCGTGAACCCGATCCCGAAAACGAACCGATAAAACTTTCGGTTCGGCACCCTGCTCTAAACATCCTAAAAATCCGACATTACCTTCATACGCGCCCGATTTGCGTATTAAAAAGTGATCAAAGATTCCGACACTTACTGTTGGCGCAGAATGACAGATGGCGCTACCGAACTTTCTGAATATGGTTGAAGGACGGATGGCGTTTGTCAGCCACTCGCGAGCGGGACTGGTCGACCGCTCCTCCACGTGGGAACTGATCGATGGCGAGTGGTTGACAAGCGACGTCCGTCGTTCGATCATATTCAGGAAGGTTCTGTAACGCCATCTGTCGTTCCACGCCAACAGTAAGTATCGGGAACTTTTATCACCTTTTTAATAAGCAAATCGGCCGCGCATGAATGTAATTCCCGGTTTTTTATGATGTTCAGAGCTCGTAGATTGCGTTAGGACCATAAAACGAGGATCTCGAAACGTGCTTTAGTGCTCTTTTAAAAGAATAGCGTAATAACCTTGGCGTGCTGCTTTTATTCTGGTTATATTCTGGCACACCCAAAAGAAGAGGCACCGCTTCCCTCCGCAATGTCGCGATTCCGCCGTGCAATCGCAGAGGAAAAAGAAAATTGCATGACAAATTTCTGGCCAATTGTTTTGGATTATACGTGAAACGTTCTAGCGTCACGTAACATCAGGTCAACTGACGTCGCGCGCGCAGTGTTGCCTTACGGGACGTCGCAGACCTGCACACCAATACAGCTTCCCTGCTATATTTAGCGTGGAAACCAGATTGGTGCGCAGGTCACGTGACGTTAATTTTCCCGCTAAATTTAGAGGAGAAACTAAATTGCCGTATATGTCACGTGAAATTAGGTCATGTGACGTCAATTTACCCGCTAAATTTAGCGGGAAAATTAACGTCCTGTGACCTACACATCAATTTAGTTTCTACGTTAAATATAGCAGGGAAGCTGAATTGGTGTGAAGGTCCGCGACGTCCCATAAGGCAACACTGAGCGCGTTGCATTATGAAACGTCACAGACCTATACACCAATAGACCGATTTCACCAGTCAGTTTGACTACGCCATCGCTGTCGCAATGCATCACATGAACATTAGTATTTCTGCAAGTGCGACAACACCGCTAGCGCTCTGCGCGTGTGGACCACGCGACGGTGCACGAGTCCTCGCATGCACGGCCGCCTGCCTCCTGTGAACTAAAGTTATGGCGGCGTCACGCATGCGCCGAGCGCATAGTGAGATTGGTCTATTCAACTTCCCCGCTAAATCTATATAGGGGAAAAATTGAAGTGGTGTCTAGGTCTGTGACGCCCCATAATGCAACACTGCGCGCGTTGCGGCATGGGTATTCACGGGTCAAGGCTTCACGAAATCCGGAGCAACGACCCAAAAAACGTTTGACGTTAAAAAAAAAAAATATATATATTTCTCTATTTGCAGCGGATAGCCTGTAGGTCCTGACAGGACATCTCGGGAACGATACGCACAAGGGGTAGGGGTCTCCGAGCGGCCTCTGTCCCATGGGGTTCCTGGGGATGAAGCCCTTGTTGAGGTCCCCGCATAACGTGTCCCTCGGGGAGAACTTGCCGTAGACGGCGCGCTCGGGGCAGTGCACGTTAGCGCGGTGGTAGGGCGGCTTGCGCACCCTGGGGGGCCGGTCTAGAGGCCGCCGGGCCTTCTCGAAGGCGTAGTAGCCGCGGGCCGGGGACGTCTGCTTCCCACCGGACCCGGGCTCCCAGGCCGCCCCGCACACCAGCAGGGTCAGCAGCACCGAAGCCACCCGGCGGCCCGGAGGCTGTGAGAGGAGGCGACACTCAGGCGTGCTTCGAAGGAAATGAAACCTCTCAATCCAGGCCACAAGTCGGAAAGCACGCACAAGCACCAACTCTACATTTCCCTCCCCCGCACCTCCCGGAACAATGCCAGCAAATTATTGCGGAGACATCAACCTGGCGTCGCTCTTTATGTTTGAGAATCTATTAACCAGGCTCGACCAGCCTCGTCGGAACCGCCAAGATTTCGGTAACCTAAAAGGCTCCGCCAGACTGGTACAAATAAATAAAGTTACCTCGCAAGTGGCACGCATTAAGCGGAGATTCATACCGAACGTTGTGCCTTGAGTCTTCGCGACCTTATGGTTACTCCTTTTGTATTGCAAGAGAAACGACAATTCGCACAGATGGGGATTTTATCACACTGGGGCTATAGGCTCGAGTACTTCGAAGGAACAAAATTCTCTCGTGGACCATTCCTGCCTTACTCAACTCTTCGTATCGGGGAAGGCCATGTCTCTAAATGCAGCAAAATTGCACGTCAATATATTTTTTAAAAATCTTGTTTTTATTTTTTAAGCTCTCCTTATCTCCTTTCAGTAACTTCAGCTAACGTATGATGCAAAATATTGAGTAGTATATAATTTCCAATTGAAAAAAAGCGACGACAAACCTTGAGCATAGTTGTAACCCGAGACTGGGGATACGGACAAGGGACAAACCTTGACTTATATTGAGCTACCTTGTCTTTGTTATAGGGGCTTTGCCGCACGACGTCGACTCCAAAACTATATTCTCTTGAACCGACAAGTCTGTACAGCGGTGTTGCTCTATTGCAGAGTCTAGAAAGTCGTCACAACTCAAACCCATGGGATTAGGAAGAATAAAAAAAGAAAAGGACAGCACAGCAGAAAATCTGAAGAACAGCTGAGTTTATTCGACCACACCAGTCCAAGAAAAGATCAATAAAACAAAACATTACGTCGCGAACATTTGACCAGACGTGGTTCGACAGGCGGCTAAATCTCTACAACACCAGACACGCTTTCGACAACGAGTATCTGCACAGATAATCTCAGTCAAGGCTACGAAAACCGGTCAACTTCCTAATCTCAGGGTGTTTGCTAACCAGGTCGTTTGCGTGCGTTTATTTTTTCAAAACGTCATACTGTCCCAAGCTTTGTTTTACGTTTTTGCTCCCTTGTGTGGCCTCGTGCGGCTCGAAACACCTTGCACTCTAGGGCTATGAAAAAAAGATACTGACAAAAATGTGCAGATTCTGCGTTTTATCGCACTCTGTAGATGCATTGTTCAGTCATAGAAGGGGACACGACCCCTTATACCCTTTATTGATATTTGCCTGCTACGTTCTATTTAGAACCCAATTTCCAAAGCATTTCTCGGTATTTTTCCCGTTTTGGCGCATCTGCCAGCTTATGCGGAAAGCAAGTTCGTCTGCCTCTTTTGCAGGGGTTGTGGTGACGTCAGAACGCCGAGCTCTGATTGGATAGTGGGTAGACCTCAAAGCAAGCTGCTTTGAAGTCTGCCCACTACCCTTCCAATCAGAGCCAATCAGAGCTCGGCTTTCTGACGTCACCACAACGCCTGCAAAAGAAGCAGACGAACTTGCGCTCCGCATTCCATGCGCGATAGACGCACAAGGCACGAATCGTGGTACCGCTGGCCTCTGGGAGAAGCAAGCGATGCCCACAACCGCCCGTCTAGCCCGCTGCTGTATGATTGAATGTGCTAGTCCTGGGCACTAAATTAGCTGCTTCCGTTTGGTGTTCGTCCATGCGTGTCTGAGCAAAATGCAACATATATGGACGATTCCCTATTCGCTGCGTGTTCGTTGGAGCGGTGGCATTGCATTCGTTGGGAGATACCGCCCAAGCAAAGGCGAATGGGGAGGCGGCTCCACTTTCTTTCAGCAGCCCACCAGTCCACACACTGAAATATTTTAGATCCTTAAGGGTGCAAATCAGCTTGTACCAGGGCTAACACCATTAGACAACCGGTGAACAGCCTAGAAATTTAATCCCTACGATCTTAACAGCGTCCCAGAGGTATTTCGTACGAGCAACAAGTTTTCAAGCAACAAGCCCAACGTGCGGAAGAGCGTGGTGCTTGTCGCTTGCTCACAAGCGCGTAAAAAGAAAATATAGACATAGCGAATCACGCAAGAGAGGGGAATCACGTTCCCGCATTATATGCTCGAACATTCAAAGACGCTCACTCGCAAATGACAGTGTCCGCCATTAGGAAGGGTAAAGGTATGTATGTGGCTTTGCTCGTCAATATTCCACGTAGAGCAGGCTATATATACAGTGCAAGGAACGTATCTAGAAGTAAAAACAATTGGTACACCAAAATAGCAGCGAAAAACGATTTTCGCTAAATCTTTGTTTTAAGGCGAACACGCTTTAAAAAAAGGTTTTTCGTCTCACTTCACCGCGGCATTAGCTTTTCCACGCAGTTTTGATACCCATCAAAAAAGAGCTGGCTTCATGCAACAGCTTTTTATTTTATAGCTGAGAAAGGGTGTGTGATTCAAAATAAGGGTGCCAAAAGGGTGTAGACTAAAAAAATAATAAGTGTTAAAAAAACTGAAAAACCTGGGCAGCTCTCTTGCCACAAATTATCTGTTTTTGTCTGGTCCTCTGTTTCCGTAATATTTGTTAAAAATAATACTTTCGGTTCCTGTCCTTTCTGTAAAATGACTGAATTTCTGCTACCCAGTAAAGAAACCGTTTTTGCTTTTAGAAATAACAAAGTTTTGTTTAAAAAAAAGCAGGTTTCTGTTCTCGATGTTTGTGAAAAAAAAAAGGTCTGATTTTTCCAGGTTGCGATAAAGGTTTAACAGCGAACTGCGTCGCTGGTATCACCTCGACATTCAAGCTCTAAATACACAGAGAAGCGAAAAAATACGATACAATGAACTTACACATGAGAAAGAGAACGACAAACAAAAAAATGATCGCATCTCCTCGTGGTGAATGATGTTGATTGGGGCGAAGCTCTGGTGGTGCTGATGATACTGATTTTATTGTTCATAGGTAGTGCTGATGGTGCTGATTTTTTTATTGCTCATAGGTAGTGCTGAGTTCCGGGTTGCGTTTCGACTTCATTATTACTGCTTTATGGGCGGTGAAATGCAGAGCCAGTGGTCCTTCTAGCGGATCAGCCTGGATCCGCTAGAAGCTGTGGGAACGAACGCATCTCCACCGCTTAAGTCAACGGTCCATGTCAGAAAGAGAGTGTGTGGTATGGAACGTGGTTATATACGCATTTGAGCATTTGACTGCAGCGCCGTCTCTTCTATAAACGTTGAGCCAATGCATGCAAAGTTGAACGCGATTATATACGCATTTGACCGCAGCGCCCTCTCCTGTATAGACGCATGAGCGGCCACATGCAACGTTTCATCCATGACCTCTCCAGCTCTTGAGTAACTACCACATCTCAGAGCCCCCTACTCGTCCCGCAGTCGTGGCCGAGTGGTTAAGGCGATGGACCAGAAATCTATTGGGGTCTCCCCGCACAGGTTCGAAACCTGTCGACTGCGGAATCATTTTTTTTTTCTTTTAGAAAACATGTTTGCGCAGTCGATATTTTTGCTTTTATTAGGGGCGAAGCTCCTTAGGCTAGACCCTAAGGAGCTTCGCCCCTAATAGCAACACAACAGCCAAACCAATCACGCACCCTCCTCGACGCATGCCACGTTTACTCGATCGCTATATATGGCAGCCTTTTTCTTTTAAATTAGATTTGGCCGGTGACTGCGATATTAGTCGCAAAAACACGTGGAGGCTGACCAAATATTACTCCTACTTAATCTTTCTTTGAAATTTTCACAGCGAATAGTTCATATATTTTAATCCAGCGTCTTCAGAAAAGTCATAGTAGATTAATTAACTAAAATCCATTAATTACCTTTTTATATTAAGTTGAAGAATTACGTTCAGATGCAGTATTTATTAGAGGCTATAGGGATTATTCGATTTTAGTTAGTTATTCAATTAGCACGATCATTTTACTCACGTCTAACGCCCTCCAAGCCCCCAAAACACGCAAGGAAGAGATGACATTCATGTAACCGTCATACCCTCTTTTTATAAAGAAATGTTCGATTTAAAATCAAACTACCCATATATCGCGGTAAATAAGACGCACTTCCGGAGAATTGCAATGTGGTATTCGATAAAACCACAAAGGGAGAAATAATTTCCACGTTTTCGTGTGTAGAACTACTTCTCTATCGATCTATTTTAAACCGGGAATGCTAAAATTTGTGTCATCTGAACCTCCCTTTTCATTCTGACAAAGTTGGGGTCTGGGAATTTTCATCGCTTATGCAAGCCTTATCTACTCCTTTTGAAATTTTAAAGTATCCCGAAAGGTTGGTGTTTCAAACATTGGGGAGCAGTTCATCCGGTCCTATATACCGCCGCTGCCACCGCAACCATGGAGAAGTTTTCTTCCTTTTTTCACGTGCCACCAGACGGCGCCACAATTACATTAGAGGAAACTGAGATCTAAATACATATATGGTTAATAGCAGAGAGGTGGATAATAATATAAAAGTTAATAGGAGAGTTAAAGGCACTTTGGGGGAAATATGAGAAGCAGGCATGCAAACTAAATCAGTCTTGGGAATTTACAGATCGTTTAAGGACATTACTAAAGAGCCCACCTTCGACAAGTCTTGTTGTTCGAGGCGGGGACGGGGAGTGTTGCGGACTAGCCCCGAGAACTTCGCGTGGCGCCCCCTTACGGCGAACCGGGGTGACGTCACGGCGAGGACAGAATTTTTCCCCGATTCGCCCCGCTCGCCCTGTACGTGGAGGCTGTGACACCGTGAGAAAAAGAAAAGAGGGAAAAAAAGGCATCATTAAATGTTGCTAGCCCAGCCGTGCGAATGTTATATTTTTTCTCTGTGTGTTTTTCATGTTCAGCTGGCCCCATTCACAAGATATGAACCAACTTGCTCAGCTTAAGCCCGTAACATCACTATAGATTTACATCTCACACAATAAATGCTGCTGATGATCTGAATAAATTGGTGAAGTATGTATGCTATTTCGTGTTTTTTTTTCTGTCTTTTTTTGCTGGGGCCTCCTCTCCTCTTCCCTCTCA